CGCTGTGAGTCGCCGGGTGCGGCCCTGCCTCGCTCCCTAATCCTGATCCTGTCTCCAATTCTGCCCCTGCTGTCCCGGAGCCCGCGGCCAGGCGCACCCCAGCAGCTCTCACTCACCTAGAGGGCATTTTTGGGGCCTCCTCGCCAGAGAGGCTTGTGCAGCTGCCTCTGCAAGTGCAGGGCGGCTCACTGCGCTCCCGCAGCCGGAGCATGGCTCCCAGCAATGCTCTTCCCCCAGGGACCATCACACTGGGGTTCAAGTGCACTCACTCAGAGAGCAAATAAAAACAGAGTGATGTAAGATCTGGAGCTTCCTCAGGGCTGCCTCTGCCCCACATAAATGCCTGTTTGTTCATCAGGTTGCTAGTGATGCCCAAGAAGTGCTGCCATTGATAAGCAAATGATAGCAACTCAGTAGCTCAGGTCCCTCCTGATCAGGCACATACAGGACTGCTGTGCCCGATTCCCCAGAAGCCAGGACACAACAGGCCTGAAAAGAGCTTTCAGAAAGGGGGAATCTCAAACACAGGAAGCAAAGATGGTCATTGTAAGCATTCTGGATACTCTTAGATCACCTCTAGAAAATGCAGGGAAAAAAAAAAAAAAAAGGACAGAATGGGGAAGGAGACACACACAGAGGTACATGTGGCCAAAGACTCTGCTGAGGAAGTAAAGGGATTGTTGGAGGCTCCAGGGTGACTGCTGCACCAGGAGAAAAGCTGTCCCTGCACGTCTCCTGGCTCTCTGTGCCCTCCTTGCCAGGCACCTGGCAGCACAAAGCAAGAGGCCTAAGCTGCAGGAGGAGAAGCAGAGCCGCACGGTGGTGCTGAGCTCTCCAGCCCCCTGCGTCTCGCACGGAGAGTACTTTGGCTTGTGCTAGCCATCATGCTGTAACGCGCTTGCTTGTGCACAGCTCTGGCCCGCACCATACTAGGAACGCGCTTCTGGCGCAGCTGCCATGCCGGAGGCATTGCTTCGCCCACCTCCCCGAGCGGGGCCCACAACACTTCCTTCCAAGGCCATCCCTCGGGTGTCCCTCCGGCCAGCTCCGTGCCTTGGCACCAGCAGGTGACCCTCTTCTCCCTGAACAGATCACACACACCCGCGCCCTCTATCTTGGCTGCCGCTTCCCACCACGTGGCAGGGGCCTCTACAGCTTTACCACTTCCCCTGAGACAACCAAAAGGAGGTCCCCCTGGCCTGCTCTGCCTCTTCCAGAGTCAATGGAAGTTGTAGGTACGGCAGGGAGGAGATATTTGGGGGTAGGTAAAGCTTCATAGTGCACATGGAGCTGGAGAGGGGGCAGAGAGCTCTGGCTGCTCAAGAACACATGCAAGTGTGTGAGAGAGCAGATAGCTCAACCGCAGTAGGATTCTGGAGACATGATACAAGAGCTGAGCAGGATTGCCAAGATAATGGTGGTCTTCCCTGAGTAGGGCAGTGGGCAGTTTGGGGGCTTTGCTGGAGCCCTCGTGCTGCTCTTGGGGCTCTGCTGGCTGGCTAGTGAGCAGGACCATCACGTGGATTCTGGCCGTGAGCACGCCACCTCCCGCAGTGACAAGCAGCGGGAGGATGCCCATGCTCCTGTTTCAGTCCTAGTCCTGAACACGGTCAGAGCAGCACGAGAACATGCCCCAGAGATGCTTTCCACAGACTGCAGAGGGCAATTCCCTGAGCACTTCCCTAAGGGGATGGGCATCTGCTCTCTTTCCCCAAAGCATGAACAGGAAGGCCATGCAGTTTTACAACTACCCAACCAGCTCCTTGGCACCTTACTTGTGAGTTGGAGACATGGGCTCACATGCCCCAGGCACATGGAATCTTTTGTGAGGCCCATCAAGGAGGAGCTACCCATTTCCACCATGGGCAGGTTTCTTCATCCCCCAGGATCATCCCGTTCCAACAGATTCTGCTCTTCTGGAGCTAATCCCCCAACTACCTCATATGCAAGAGTCCGCACGTCCATGTTTGCATGGTGCGTTTTGTGGCACACTATCTGATGGAGCCCAGTTGACAGCCAGGACAATTTCCAGACCAAACACATTCATCTTGCTTGCTCATCACTCCCCAGTTATGTGCCAGGAGGACATATGGTTCCTGCCAGATAGGCTCATATATGCACCTACACACAGATTTTGCACATACAGAAACTACAGTCCCATACCAGGTTGAGCACTGCCACTCTTAAGAAGCTTCAGGAAGGAATGATAAAGGCAACCTCTCTAATTGACACGGTCTTTCTTTTGCCTGAAAGCAATTTTAATTCAGAATGCTTTTCCTTTTTCTCTTAGTTTATATGTCCCTGGAATATAAGTGTACAGAATCCTGCAAGGAGAAATCCAGGCAATAAGTAGGATTGCAACCCTGGACTTCATGAGCACACTCTTTGAGCTGGTTCAAAGACATGGACGCTGCCTTTGGAAGTGGAGGACCTCCTTCTGAAGGCCTCAATTTCTTCCTTATAAGGAAGGGCTGGGAGTTGTTTGGGCGCTTCTGCCCGCTTGGTGAGGGGAGCACAGGGTAAGCGGAGCTGTGCTGCGCTCAGGGATGCCATGTGCCAGCGCTCCGGCTGCCCAGGGCAGTGAGTGCCACCATGCCAGGGTGGGCACTGCAGCCAGTGCTGGCCCAGGCAGGGGCTGTGTGCCCGTGACTGCACACAGGACAAGTCACAAAGGGAGGGGACGTTACTGTGGCACCTTCAGGCATTGGCCCCGTAGCTCTGTGGCTCCTTAGCAGTACGGCCTGGGCCAGCCCAGGCAGCAGCAGCTTCTGCAGGGTGAGTGCAGCAGTGGGGCAAGGCTGGGCACCAACTCCATCTCCCTCCGGGAGGTTGTGCTGCTACAGCCGAGCCGAGTGTAGAGCAACACTTTGGCTCAGGGGTGTTGACTCCCACAGGGCTGGGGACAGACTTGCCTGGACACAGCTTTGGGGATGTGCTGGCCACCTGCAGCTCTGTGGCCACTGCTCTCTTGGAGGAGCACTGTCCCACTGGTGACACTTGTCCTTTCTGCAGCCCTGTACCTATGGCGAAGCCTGGCCAGGGTGCCAGTCTCAGGGCAGGCTTGTCAGGATGGGCCCCACAGCACTGGTGTCCCCTTGGAGCCTGTGGGCACTAGAGCCCAAGCATTTCCATTTCCCACAGTCCGCACTCAGGCAGCATTCACCAACCCCATCCTTGCTGCCTCCCAGCTCCCTCTCCCCTTCCTCTATTCTGCCCCTTTCTTCTTGCAGCTCCTGACACCTATTCACAAGCTCTCTGCCAGCCAGCCTGGCTCACCCCCTTCTCTCCCATGTCCTCTAGGCCATGGCTGCGGCTCTCGCACTTGTGCTGGCCATGCTGGGCACTGTCCTGCAGCCACTGAGTATCAGTGACCACATGGACATGGGCAGGGTCCTGCAGCCGCTGAATATCAGTGACCATGTGGACGTGGGCACAGTCCTGCAGCTGCTGAGTTTCAGTGACCCCACGGATGTAGGCATGGAGCAGCGGATGCAGCAACACGAGGAGCAGCTGAGTCATCTGACTGCGCAGGAGCTGGCGACAATGATGCAGGAGGCACCGAGCGCACTGTTCAGGAGGGACATGGTCTTCACCACCTGGGACTCGCGGCAGCTTGGGGCCTTTGCTGGAGGCCTTGTGCTGCTCTTGGGGCTTTTCTGGATGTCCCCAAGGCAGGACAACGGCTCAGACAAGGGCAGAGGCAATGAAGAGCAGGAGGCTGTGGGCACTGTGCACTCGCTGTCCCCTGAGCAGCCACTGGACTCCCCACGCAGGCAGGCTCTAGAGAGCTTTTGTGAGCAGCACCTGCAGGGACGCGTGCAGGACGTGGCCCTCACATGCCAGGCGGTGCAGGAGCTGGTGGACAACCTCCTCCACGCCTGCCACGTGATCTCCCTGACAACCTTCCTGCCGCGGCTGGAACCGGGCATCGGCGTGGGCAGCAGCTTTGAAGGCTGGAGCCACGGCGGGGAGGACACCGTGTACAGAGTGCTTGTGCGCCTGAAGCCACCACCCGGGCACTCCTTCCGCCTGCAGCCAGACGCTGACGGGGAGCTGCCGGCGAGGCACGGCCGTGTCCGTGTGAAGCTGAAGTGCATGTGCAAGAGGGAGCAGCTGCTGGGAGACGTGCTGTGCTTCCGGCATCACTCCTACGAGCAAGTGCGCAGGCACCAGCGTCCCGAGCTATTGCAGATCCTGTGCGCTGAGTCCTACCTGGATGTGGAGAAAACGGCCCACTGGCTGCAGCTCTTCGTGCGAAACGCCTGGGACGTGATTGCTGCGCAACAAAACTGCCAGCTGGCAGTGCTGCCTTCCTCCCGTTCCTGCCACCTGCAGCTCACCTACAACTCTGGGAGGACCGTGCACGTGGAGATGATGCTGGGAGTGCAGCAAGATGAGGTGGGGGTCTTCGTGGGCAGCCAGGAGGCAGAGACCGACCTGAGCAACACTACGTGGCTGGAGAGCTGTGCCCTGCACGAGCTGCTCTTCTTCAGATGCGTGGCCAGGCAGGCCCCTCACGGCAGCTGCCACCTGACATGTCTGCAGCTCCTCACCTACCTCCTGGGGGACTCCGTGCTTTCCCCTGCCCACCTGAAAACAGTCACCATGCACCTCCTGACACTGCTGCCCCCATCAGAGTGGTGCCCACAGCGTCTCCTAGAGCGGCTGAGGGATATCCTGCACTACTTGCACCGCTGCCTCGAGGAAAGGCAGCTTCACCACTTCCTCGTAGGCAATGAGCGCGTGCCCAGGGAGCTCTCGCTGCCAGCTGCCTTCCAAGCAGCCAGCCCAATCAACCTCTTCCAGCGCCTGGCACGGGAACCCCAGGCCCAGGCGCTGCACGAGCTCACCCAGCTGCAGCATCGACTGCAGAGCCTCTCACACTGACACCAGGGAGGGCTCTGCAAAGGCAGCTGCAGGAAGGTCACCTGCAAAGCCCTGGCGAGGCTGCAGTGCCTGTCCGAAGCGTTGGCGGCAGCCCGGTGTACAATAAGGAACGCTTCCAGTGGACTTAAGGGGCCCTCATGCTCATGAACAACAAGTCAAATCCTGCATCCAACCCGTGATTCCAACCCTGACTCCCTCAGCCTCCTGCACACAGTAGTTTAATCCCTTTAATTTAAACCCGCTTTAATTAAAGAATTAACCCCTGTCGCACCCGCGCTCGCCTCTCCCTGCTTTGCTCCCGCTCCTCTTTCCCATCCCTCCTTCAGGTCCGTTGTGATTTTACACACGCTGGACTCCAATTGGCGGACCGAGCCATCAATCATACTCAACCCCACCTTGTTCCTCATGCCAGCCAATAGGAGGCTGCATGGGGCGGTGCCATGGCAACGCTGCGCCCTCCTCCGCCGCGGGACGGCGCCATCTTGTGGGCGGCAGCGCGGGGCGTCGCGAGAAAGGGGCCGTGGCCATCCCAGGATGGCATCACTGAGCCCGAAACACGCGCTGTCAGCGAGGAGGCACAAGGGGATGCAGAAGGGGAGGAACAGAGGTTCTCCAAAAAAAGCTGATGCCTTAGATTTATTCCAAGGTGAAGGATCCATTTCCAGCAAAGGCATTTCCAGGTGGCTCCCGAGATCCCCACATCGCTGCCAGACAACACGGCCGTGGAGATGCAGGATCCAGCCCAGAAACAGAGCCCAAAGGGGGAACCGACTTGCAGGGGTAGGCAAAACTACTCCATAGTAGGCGAAACTAGCATGCCATACTCCACAAGTTTTACTTAATTGTAACCAGGATCAATTGTGCCCATAATCCCTTAGACATAACCATTGACCAGGTCTGGGATTAAGATGAGATTCAGCTGCACCCAGGCTCCTTGGAGGAGGAGTTTGGAAAGCATCTGAACTTCACGACTCAACGGCAGGGTCGTCCAAGTAATTTTGTATAAACTTCTCCTCTATGCAGTAAAGTGACCTTGCCATACAATCTCGTGAAAAAACACTGTCCCTTTCAATAAATAAATAGTAATATTTTTATTAAGCATAAGCAGCTTTGTATCACTCACACCCCTCCACCCACACTCATTCCATGACGGAACTGAAAAGCCCCCTCCCAGGCTCTGGAGCACCAAACAGTGGAAGCAGGCTGGGCTGCAAAACTAGAGATCACAGGGTGCAAGTTGGTCAGTGATTGTCTCAAACACCTTGGAGAAACCCATCCAACCCTTAACTTTGTTAAGAAATAGCAGATCATACTCTTTGATCATTGTCCTGCACAAAGGTCAGTTTAAGCCTGGATCTTCTTCCCCTTTCTTGCTAGAGATCTCTTCCTCCTTCCCAGGATTGGTTCATTGGTAGACGACTGAGGACGGATCTTCATCTCAGTAAAAGGGATGGAGAATTCATGGCCCTTCCATGGTTCCCAGTTAACCCCCTGTGGAAAGAGCAAGGAACTTTCTTTTATTAAAGCACCCAGAACAGGGGACAGGAGTCTACCTCTCCCTCTCTAATGTTATTTAACCCTCTCAGTAAGCAGAGATGCTATTACTTACCCGATTTTAACTATAGTTAGTCTTTCAGACATTTGTAATACAAGTTAAGTCTCCATACAGTTAGAGACTCAATGGAAACAGAGCCCTTTCAATCACAAAACAAGCCTGTATGATGAGATGCAAAGCCAGACATGCACTGAAACTAAGATGAATGCTGCATGGGACAGTGAGCCCGTGTCCTGGCATGCCTCATAAGGAGTGTTCTTTTCTGTTCCTCATGGAAATCAGGGCAGCTCTATCTCAGGTATTTCAACTCATCACAGAGTAATGCCATGGATCATTTTCCAATGAAATGAATTGGGATAGCCTGGCCAACCCCTCCTGCTGCAACCTCAATCCCATGTATTGTCCCAAGGCTAAGGGAGAACAGCTGTCGGCTGCACAGAGCTTTGCCACTCACTTCACTGTGCTTGTTCTCCCCATATTTCCCATTGAGGTTGGCCAAGTGGCAGTTCTTGTACCACCAGGCACCGCGGTGTGTCAGAGCACAGTTGCTGAGAGCCACATCGTTGTCTCTGTCCCATGTTGTGAACTTCCAGCCATGGTGATACGTCATTGCATCCCCTAAATGAAGAGATTAAAGGCACAAGCAGAAGTCAGAGAGCACAGTTGCTTAGCCTGAGAGTTTATACTCCCTTCAAGCTAAACACAGCAGGCCTGTCAGAGAAGAAAAGCAGCAGCACAGGAAGGGTGTGAAGAACAATTTCTAAAAGGCTGCTGTAAGAATTCATGTCCAAGGACTGGATTCCCTGAGGCTGAAGACCTAAATGTAAGAGATGAAGTGGTTAAGTGGAAGACTATGGATGCAGAGAAACTTAAGAATTTACCAGTGGCAGAATCCAGTATCAGGATGGCTACTTTTGCTGGGCAAACTCACTAGGTTCTTCTCTTTTCTCAGCTGGGGAAGCTTAGCAGTCACTCCCTCTCTTTGCCCTGAGAGGACAACTTTCTCCTCTACCCAGCAGGAGACAGGCTTGTGGGTACATGCTACCTCAGAGAATTGCATCCATGTAACCTGACCTAATGAGCCTGCATGCTACCGGCAAAACGAACATGCAGGTCCCAGTATTTGCTTCCCTGAGCGACGCACGAACACGAGAAGCACCAGGCGTTTCTCACCAGCATTGCCTCTGTAATTCCCCACTGACAGCTTGTATCTATCTCTGCTTGAGGCAACCTGGAAGAAGTCATAGACAGCATAGGCAGATTCATTGGGTGTCCGCAAATCCACACGGAGCTCGTAATGGATGGGGCTGCTTGTGAGATTGTGCAGCTTGTCAAGACCTACAAGAAAAAAAGAAATAACTCTTAAAATGGAGAAGCCTGTTCACCATTGCAGTCCTAGAATCTCACCTTGCTGCCATTTTGGTTATATGACCTATTTTCCTTCATACCCCTGCTTCATGATGTCACAGCATTTTTGTCAAGTCTATGTGGTCACCTCCCATTTCCTGGCAAGAAAGAGCAGTGTCGGAAAAACCCAGGACCCTAAACAAGCCCAGTCAGAAAGAGCCTAAACACATGGACTGTAGTGGAACATTACTTTCTAGGCCCATCTAAATATTCTTGCTCCAAAGACCTGGATCCATTTAAAGCTGGATTCTGTGATCCAAGCAGAGTGAGCTAATATAATAGAAAAGACAGAAAGTGACAGAGTACATTAAGTTTTATATAAATGTCCTGGATTTCACATTTTCATCTAGGCAAATTATTTCAACTCTCATAGGAACACAAGCCTGAAATAAACCTTTTCAGGGGGTTGGAAAACTCTAGCTTGCCCTGGGGCTGCTCCACAGCCCAGATGTCAGTGGAAAGACATCAGTGGGCCTCTAGAAATCCCAAATACTTAATTGGCACTTCCAAAGAGCAGAAAAACTGACAGTTCCAGACAGGAGGCTCAGAGAAGATGAATATTTCAGCACTCAGATGCTTTTACAAAGCTAGTCTTTAGCTCTGGTCACAGCTTAATACCTTACCAAGCCAAAATTCACCAGCTGGATCTCCAAAGCCTTCCACATAATCCTTCCAGCGTTTGTAGAAATCCAACTCGCCAGAGCTCCGCCTCTGAAACACCTGCAAAGCAAGGATGGATCACCAAATGAGAGGACTTTGAAGAGGCACGTGGCATACGGGCGTGAGAAATGGATGATTTCCTTCTTTGACCACCAGCCTGCACGTTCTAATTCATCCTAATTCAAATCCAGGCCAAAAGGTGAGGTGCTCAGGAACAGATATCTCCAGGTGATGCTAAATTGCAGCTGAGCAGGAGACACACAGGAATTCATTTCCATTTCCTGCACAAGCAGTTGGGCATGAATACCTACCTGCACAAACTTTACAGTTTACTTTCCACAAACAGTCTTGAGGAGCACAAATAAGCAGAATCTAAACATCTGGACAAGGATTAGGGACAAGATACACAGATCTACTTCAGCTTCTAAACACAAAAACAGCACAAGTTGGGCAGTGACACACAACAATTCATTTCAGTGGAGAAAAATACCACAGAACCCAAAAAGTGAAAAAGCAAATAGGAGGATTTTTATTTGTTCTCTTAGGGATATGGCACTCAGACCATCTGAGATTCATTCCTTCATCCTCATACAAAATTCCCTACATCATAGTCTGTGCTATAGGGCCAGTTACTCATTAGGGACAGAATTCAAGATTATCAGTCCCTTCAAATCACCTTGAATTTCCTTCCTTCTGGTTTCACCTTTAGATTCTCTTGAGACATTAAGCAACCACTGTGTGGTCAGGGTCCAAATGCATGCTCCCAGTACTGACACTTAAAATATTACCAGGCATGAGATGAACTGCAAGAACTATCCATACTTACAACCTTATCCTGTAATCAAGACAAGATAGCCCAAGACAGCTGAGTTAGCCCATTACAAAAAAGCAGTGGCAGTTCACATCAGTTGTACTATTTTGTCTTGCAGTGGGGCTGAGTGCACCCTCACAGATGACTCCCATGGCCCAGTTGGCAAGAGGTCATACGCTAAACTGCCACCACTCATTGTCCTGAATTATCAGTAATATATCCTGAGTCACATGCAGGACAAAGCATCCTGCTGTCAGGCCTTTGATCCGGTTGGCCACTTACAGCACTCCCACCGACAGCCTGAAGGAGTTTATCACCATCCACCTCTCTTCTACCTAAAACATGTCACTCCCTCAGGGCAAGGGCTGAAACATAGTGGGGCAAATGAAGCTTCAAATCACTCACTGTCCATCCGCCTCCATCAGTGGTCATGTCACAGTACACCTGCACTGGCCAGTTACCATCTCCACTGAGGTAGATGGTGTACAGGCCGCTGGAAGAATTTCCATTCTGCTGTGTCTGGCTACAGTCTGCTGGATACGGGTAGAGGAAGCTAACTGCAGGAACAGAGAGGGCAAAATTTCAGTCAGCAAAGCAGACCATAAAGCTGTAGGAGGCATTTCATACCTTTACAAGTCCCAAGGACAACAGTACCAGAAAAGGAATAAAGGAACAGCAGCAGCCCTGCTGCACACTGAGCACTGTGCAGGCACATCACAAGATTGCAGGCAGTGACCTTCCCTGCTGCTTCAGATCTGGCTCATAGATTGGGTCACCAGAGACTACATGAGGTACAATCCTGCAGCATAGCAAAAGCAGGAAGAGAAGCTCTTGTTTCTGAAGGTGGGAGTGTCAGTCAACAGTTTATTCTCTCCACATCCCACAACTTGTCTGTGACCAGTGAAACAGCCCACTAAGAGGTGCCCGCATCAAGCCGGCATGAGAATTTGCTTGATGTGCTCCCACTGTGGTGTGCATTTCATGATCTCTGAAAATAATCAGTGCAGCTCCCCAGTGTCCACACCCTTGTTTACACGGTTGTGCCCTACAGTTACTAGGATGGTGCAAAAAGATCCATAGAGTATCACCTTCTCTCCTGGCCCACTGGCAGCTCACCAGGAGGTAGCGTCCTGCAGTAGCTTACAAGGTTTGCCAACAGCACTGACAGCACTGACCAGTATGGGCAGTCTGTACTCACACTCTCCCTTTGTGCTTCCAAGCCTCTAGTTCATGCGGCCAAGGATGGATACCCAGCCAGAAGACAGCGAGTCACTACTCCCTAGTTAACTGGCTTATGATCACATAGTTTTCCTAGGGGCCTGTAAAACAGAACTCCATCACTGTCCTCTATCTGAAAAGTGCAATGGCTGCCAAGCACAGGGAAGACCCAAACCCTACCTGTTGAGAAGGCAGTGCCTGCCTCTCTGCTCTGGCGATCTCCCTTGTAGGCCAGCACAGAGACCCTGTACCTCACTCCTTGCTCCAGTCCTTCCAGCACAAACCTGTGGTCACTAGGTCCGAGCTGCACATCCTGTCAAACAAAACAGACCACAGATCAGCCCGAATCTGAGGAGCATTTAGTTTGTCTGGACCGCGGTGCCTTCACACACAGCAAGCATTTATGAATTTGTCTTGTAGAGTTGAAACAGGCACACTGTGGCTATATATCCTCGAGGAGTCCATCTCCTCAGAAGCAAGATTTGGGGCAGGGTCTCAGAAAACAGTTAGGATACTGTATCCTATTTCCCTGGAGTGCTGCTCTTCCATGTAGTAACACATCAGAAAAGCAAAGTGAGAAGGAAATCTATTCAGGGTACCCTGAAGATCTGATGGGAATAGGTACATAAAGCCCCTCATGACAGTAGCACTTTTCCTTCCTTGGTCTTTGCCTCCCCTGGCCATGGATGGCATAGATTCTTCCTTTTGATTGATCTCCTGTGGTCCATGAACCCACAGGATTCAGTGGCAGAGCCCATGGCCATAGGGATGATTTCATTGAAATTTGTGGGGCTAAGGAACCCACTGTACCTTGTTGCTGCCACCTGGGCCCTGGAAGGTCAAAGTGTAACCATCAATCTCTGCTTCTGGAGGAGTCCAAGTAACTACACCAGCAGAATGAGTCACATCTGATACACGGAGGTTCTTGGGAGGATCAATATCTATTGAAAAAAAAAAAAAAAAAAAAAAGCAAGTCTTGTTGTATAAAGGCAGCAAAGCAGCTCTAGTGCAGCACTAGGGTTGAGCTTTCCATGATGGATCCTGTTAATTGGTATTCAGCACCTTTCAAAGCTATCAGCAGCAGAATGAGCCTGCAGCAAACATGGCCAGGATGCTGTAGATCTGTTTTGGGACACTTTGTATGCCCTGCAGTTGCTCAGTTGCATGGCCTGTCCCAGGGCCTGGGGGTTCTGACACTTCTGCCTCAGAGGCCTCCATCAGGCTGATCTTGAGGAGCCTTCACAGATGGGTCAGCTTTGGGGTCTGGAACCCAGTCCTGCAGCATGGCCCTAGCGTGCACTGGCTTTGCTCCCAGAGTCCCCACGCTGTTGGAGAGCACAGGCTTTGGAAACGTTTTATTGTTTTCATGCTTCAGCCTTGCATAATAAATGCAGTGATACAAAGAAAAGCCCAGCTTTACAGTTTGGTCTGTGCTGTATCTGGGTCATCACCTCCTACACTGACAGCAAAAGCTTAGCCAGACATTTCCTGTGCAGCTGCCCAAGCTGAACATGAGAAGAGGTGCAGAAATATTTTTAAAGCAGTGGCAGTTCACATCAGTTGTCCGAAAGCATGCACCCTGTGGTGTGCCCACAAGAGGGCTCCAGTGCTTGCCTCATGATAAAAAGCAGATTATAAATTTCACTTTGAAGCAACAGCAATGGAAGCAACCTCCTCCTAACTGTATCCTATGCTTACTATATTCTGGCATTTTGGGAACATCTTAAGAAAAGTATTCTAAGGAATAGGTTTGCCTCACCTGCTCTAGCCTTCCAACTTTTAGAGAGAAAGTAGTTGGTGGACAGCACTGACGTAGGAAGAGTGTTCCAACTCTGAATTTATTACAAACTATGACTGAAAAATTCAGCTCAGTTCACTGCTCTACCACAGACTTCTCCACACAATGACTGGCATATCATTTAACTCATGCTTTGATTCAGTCCTTCCTCCATATTCAGAGTGCTAAGAGGATAATCACAAAAATGATCAGAGCAACAGAGAAATATTACAGTTGTGAAAGGGTGACAGAGGAAAAGCTAACAAGTAGAGTAGAACAGCATGGCTTCTCCCAAGAAGCACCATACCTCTTGCATACAAGGTTACTACTTAAAACAGACACAGAGAAGAAGCCAAGTAATTCAGTATATAGAGAGCAGCAGAGTTGGAAGTTCACATCAGATACTGTTTAAAACACCAGCTCTTCATTATAACCAAGGCCAACAGTTTCCAAAGGTGCAGGAGAGTAAATCCCTGCCATAGCCAGTTTTAACACTACAGAATAAGTGGTCACTACTTTCAGAAAGAAAAAAAAAATTGTCAAAAGTTGAATCATTTTACCAGTTGTGTTATTTTGGGGAAATAATATCACCAAGAACTAGTCTTTTGAATAGATATTTTTAAAAACATCCCAACTAATGATAATTACAGTACCCCTCCCAGCAGTTTCACTTCATGTGAAATGTAAAACAACAAAGGAACATGGCCCCCCATCCTGCTTCTCTTCCCTCCCATCCACAGTTACCTGTTAGCACGTCAGCACTCGCCCTCCTGCTCTCCCTGCTTCCCAGCTCTGCCCAGACGTAGATGACATACTTCATGCCTGGCTTCAGTCCCGTCAGCGTGGTGATGCTCTCGTCTTTCCCCACTTCTATTTCTTTGCTGTCCCCATCAGCAGAAGTGTAGCTCACCATGTACCTGTCTCTGGGAGCTCGGATGCTGTCCCAGGAGATGGTGGCTGTATCCTCTGTCACTCTATCAGCCACCAGATTCTTTGGGCTATCCATTTCTAGAGAATAAAGTGAGGGTAACTAAGAGACCATAAAAGTTTTATAGGCAGAGATAGGACATGTTATTACACCATTGAATAACTATGGAAAAACAGACAAGCTTTGATGTTTTTGTGGTCCAAAGACCTAACAGAGGTTCAGATATCCAAAAGCTTGCTTGTTTTCTGTAGCTCAAACTGGTACCTTGAATGGAAGTTTTATCTTTAGCTACAAACCACAATTGGATCATGCAGTCCAAACGACAGATGCTTAGGCGAGTTCTCAGATATCATTTTGTGGATCCAAATAAGTCTGTATTCTTGGATATTGTGTGAGTTAGAGATAATAATGGGGCTATTGCTTGCAAGACCCACCATTCTTTACCCACTGGTAAACACACTTTTACTGCCAGTGAGCTGGCCAAATTGAGGCTGGTTAGCACTCTGCCCCAGCACCAGCTGGGCTGGGCTGCCGGTTTCTGCACTAACAGTTCCGACAAAAAAACCCAAATTGTCCCAGTGAGGTTGCACTTTACTCCTTCCCCTCAAAGGCCCCGCAAGATTTTTTTCCCTTCCCAATTGCTCTGACAACATCAAATAGGATCACAGAGATTCCCTTAGAATACCTGTCACTGCCTCAGTGCTGGTCCTCTTGCTGTGCTGGGCTCCCTTCTCTGCCCAGAGGTAGATGACATACTCGGTGCCAGGCTTCAGTCCGGTCAGGCTGGCTGTACTCTTGTCCTTCCCCAATTCTATCTCCTCGGTGTCACCATCAGCCGATGTGTAGTTCAGCACATACTTATCTATGACAGCCTGGACCCTGTCCCAGGAGATGATGGCTGTGTCTTCTGTCACTTGGTCAGCAATCAGGCGAGCTGGGCTGTCAATTTCTGCAGGGACAGTTAAAAGCAAATAACACAAGCTGTCACAGTGAGGCTGTACTGTGAAGTACTATGAGACTCCTCCTTGAGAGCCCTACCCTTTTCTTCCTTTTTTTGACCTTTCACACATTGATTTGACCCACAAAGCTGGCAGGTGTCAAGATCTGGGGTGCTTTTACTGGGGTCAGTCTCTAACCTCCAGATTTCTTAGGAAACAGCACAGCTGGTCCTGACGAAGAAGGAAGAGGGCCTTATGAAGGCAAATATTGCTGCTTTCTGTTTTTCCTCATTTTCACAAATCTCCGAGGCTCACATACACACATATGGAAAGTGAATGAACATGCAAAGCTCTCCTGTTAAGAGATGAAGATGCCCAGGTACATTGTTACCTGCCTTCCTTCAGCAAGTCCCTGACCTAGAACACGAGTCAGAATCCTGCTTGAGTTACACATTCTCTACATCGCTTGCAAAGAATTAAAACACTCAGCTTGACAATGTTATTCTAAACTAGCAACCCTCGCACTAGACACATCACTACATTCCCTTAAGCAGGTCTGGCTACACAAATGAAGGAAAGTCCTTGGCGAGAACAACTGATGAACAATTGAGGATTAGTCATCCTATCACAGGAAAATATATAATCTTTCTGTTAATCTCCATAAGCTTCAATCTCTCCATCTGCACAAAGTTTCATGTCTGGGTGAAGGATAAACTAATTAAACTGACAGAATTAAAAGCATGACTATGCAAATATGACACTGCTGGAAAAGCATCCTTTTCCCAGATTTAAACCACCAATCCAGATGAGTAAACACAACAAAGGTTTTTTATAGTGTTTAGAATCACTTTGCAAAAATGTTGAATGGATTTCACAGCAAGATGCAGTAACCTAAAGATTGTGTTAAGTTTGAATGCCCCTCTGCTGCAAAGCTTATTGAATAACAGACTCATTCAATGTCAGGGCAAACTGTGTTGTAACTCGGACACTCAGTTCAGCCTGCTGCCCTCTCACCTGTCATAGCCTCAGTTCTGGCTTTCTTGCTCTGTTGCTCTCCTTTTTCTGCCCAGATGTAAATGATATATTCCATGCCTGGCTTCAGTCCTGCCAAGGTAGTGACATTCCTGTCTTTCTCCACTTCTGTCTCCTCCGTATCCCCATCAGCTGAGGAGTAGCTCACTCTGTATCTGTCAATTGGAGCCTGAACTTTGTTCCAGGAAATAGTAATTGCATCCTCTGTCACTCGGTCAGTTAACAGCTTAGTGGGGCCGTCAATTTCTGTAAGTGAAAGTCATAATTACTAGATATTTTACTGTAGTGCTCTGGCAATCACAATGGCCTAAACACATAAATAATAAGAGTTTTATATACAGAGGTAGTGTGCTTTATGTATGGAAGAAGAGACCAGTTTTGGAACATGGTGGTCTAGGAACTCCCATTTCAGTCATAGATATCAAGTGAGAAAACAAACTGACTTTAGAGCACAAACTAAGCTGAAATAAAGTGATTGTCTGAACTTCACATTAAGCATTACACTGATTCTTTCAGGATCCCTGAAGGTGGGAATTTCAGTCAGTTCTAGAAATTCCCCGAGGCAGCTCCTGTCCTTTCTAGTCCTATCTACATATTTAAATGTGTCAGTCAATACCCTGCGTGGACTGTTCAAAAGACTAAAGTGATTACTGCTGTACAAGTAATCAAACTACATGTAGATAAGCCCACTGTACTCTTGGGGAAGAGTACAACAGTCCCCCAAAGAGCAGCCTGGAAGGTGTTTCTGGCATATTTAATGCTACATTCCAACCATGAGTACTTAGCTGTGGTTCACTGTTATCTGTGCTGATAGTAAATGATGTCTAAAAGAAAGGCCTGTCTGTAGCCCAACTCAAAATTAAGAAGTTTCATTCCTGGGCTGAAGACCTGTTCAGCCTCATTAGTAAGAATGGCTTTTTTTTTTTTTTTTTTCTCTCCTCTCTAAAGCCTGTGGAAAGTAGTGGAAGTTTCACTGAAACAAGTGCAACTAGCAAAGGCACCTAAAATCCAAACCGCACTCCTGCTTGCTGCTGCTGGTACCACTTACCTGTCACAGCTCTAGTGCTTGTCTTCCCACTCTGCTGGGATCCTTTCTCTGCCCAGATGTGGATGATATATTCCATGCCTGGTTTCAGGCTCAGTAAGGTGAAGTTGTTGTTTTCACTTCCCAGCTCTATTTCCTTTATGTCCCCATCAACTGAGACGTATCTTATCATATATCTGTCTATGGGAGCCTGAACTTTATCCCAGGAGAGAGTGGCTGTATCCTCTGTCACTCGAACAGTCACCAGATTGGTTGGGCTATCAATTCCTAAGAGAACATTTCAAAGTGCAGGATGAGGAAACTCCAGCTGAATCAAACTGCTACATTACCCATCACAGCATATGCACATTTACATTACTTTGCCTTGCTGCTTTAGCCAGTTCAAACACAGAGTCACACAGGTCTTCTCTACAGACACTAGTGAAAGAAAGGCCATCCATGAGAAATCAGCACAGTCAGAGTAGGAGAAAGGCAGAATTGTCCTAACAGTTAGATGACACTTTCCATAATTTTCTGCAGGAAGATCTTGCAGGCTACTGGCTCCACCTCCAAAGGCTGGTCACTTGAAAAAACACTTTTGTGCCTGCCCTCCTCACAGCAACCAGGTGCAGGTCCCATCCTCTCGCTGTTTCTGATGTCAGCTATTTGTTGTTCCTCATCCTTTGCTTACCCTGCAGTCCTGTCTCTCCAACTGTACCAAGCTACTGCTTTTTTACATGAGGAATTAGAATTTAGTGCTACCTCTCACAGTAGTTGGTATTAGTCTCAGCTCCTAGGTTCCAGGATTTTTCTAAAAATCGGAGCAGGATTACTCACTGTGAATTTTTGTCTTCAAGAAGTTTTTCAGCCTCCATGTTTGCAAAGAACAGACTGCAAACAGGGGCTGAGGGTTCTGCAAATAATCACAGTCTACACAGGAAAAAAGCAACATTAAAGTGACATGGTGGAAGTTGTAGGTTTTGTTGGTTTTAATCAGTTTTCTCTTAGCTGAATAATTAGAAAACTTCAGGAAGACTAGACCTGATTTGGGATCTTTCATTTTTGGATGCTGCAACCCCACCTTTGCATAAAGAGTTGATTTTCAGAGCTTGGAGAATCTCCTGGGTAGGATGAGAACTTATTTTTTTCAAGCTCCCCTCTACAATATAATAGCTGAAGAATATCCTGCCTTATTTTTGGAGAAATTGAAATATCAATGAACCAACAGGATCTAACTGGACTGGCAGTCATAGGAAAAATATTAGTCAAATAGCCTGGAGGATGCTGCTATCTGATGTGTACCAAGTGCACAGTGTGAGCAGAGGTAAGCTTGAAGATGCTCTTGGTCTCTTTCCATGCCAGAGAAGACTAAGTTTGACTTGGGTTCTGTTATGGAAAAGCAGTCCAGAGCTTCTCCATCTGATCTTAACAAGTAGATGAAGCCTCTTCAGTCACTTCAGACGTGAAAGGCAGGAAATCAAGATAGCTTAAAAGGCCAGGTCTGTGTCACCATGCCTAGCCCTAAGTCTCTTCTCTATGGGGGCTGGTTATCAGGTGGCACAGCAGGCTGGAAAAACCATGGCGAGTTACTTACCATAGTGAACAGCTTAACTGTCTTCATCCCCATGTCTGGCTAGGGCTGTCAGGTTATAAAGGCAAAGTTACCATAGAGTTAAAACTAAGGTAAAAGGTTCAAGGTAATTCATAGTACACTACTACCATACTTGAACAAACATGCTGCAGCCCTGGTTGCAGCACACACTGGAAAGCCAGCTGTGTCCCTTTCACTCGGCAATCTTTGCAGAGCTCTCTGAGGCCTGTAGTAAGACCAGTAGTCGTATGACAGTGTCGTAACAGAAACTACACACGTACCAGTCCTGCCACTCACTGAGGATGGTTTCCCTTCCGTATCATCTTTCACAGGTATAACAGTGATCTTGTACTCAGTGCCGGGTTTCAGGCCTACAAAAGGCAAAAGCAAACACTTCCAACAATCAGAAAAGACAGTCTTCTGTTTTCTTAAAAAGGGAAATATTATAGCATTATTTTGTTTATTCTACCCAGTTCTAGCTTTGTAGTAGAGAGAAACTTGAATTGGGGGATTTTAATCTGAACTTCCCTTGGGATCATCCTGTTAGGACTTAGATTCAGGTTTGCCATTTAGGGCATGCACTGTATATAATACATGGGGATTTCTGTATCATCAGTGTTACAAGCACTGGAATAGAAGAAAATCCTTTATTCCTAACGGATGGAATTAGAGTTGAACAAATGTGCTTTGAGCCTATACAACATCTACACCTCATGCTCAAGAGCCCCAGCATGAATGAATACCACTAGAAACAGTGTTTTGGTCAATCAAAAGTCTCTTGACACTCCCATGAATTTGACTGAAAGAGAAAGACCCTCAGCCAGGTCCTGCCCTCACCATAATCAAACACTTTGAAGAGACCCTAAATTGGATTCAAAGTGAATGTTTTAAGAGAAACTCCCTGCACAGTTCTTCTGCCAGAAGGAACAGTAGTCTAGAAAACAGAATAACTCAGGTGAAAACAGAATAACTTTAGGTGTGCAACAACTACTAAGAGCTGCTCTATCCACAGCACTGTGGATCAATCAATAACTGGAAAGCGTAGCAATAGATCATGTCAGGAAAAAAGTCACATCTTCGTTTGTGTAACGGATTATTTATCCTAGCTTTATGTATATACCATAAAGTTCATGGTTTAAGACATACCATTATGGGGTGGAGGAAATCCCACTGGAACTCACCTGGCCTAGAGCGAACACAAGGTGAAGGAGAACTGGCCATTCACACACAAAGGAAGAGTCTTCTCAGGTCTATAGTCTAAAAAACATCGTTCCTGCCACTTGTCCCTGCCTCTGCCCAGGTTGGGATTCATGCAAGTACTCACCAGTGATAATGTGTCTGCTCTTGGGATCATTGCTTTTGGGCACCGTGACCTGCTTCTCATCCATCTCCAGCAGGGACCTAAATTTCAGCTTGTAATAATCCACATCTGCAGGAGGGTTCTCCCACTCCACTTCCAGGGAGCTCTCCATCTCCTCCGTGACCCATATGTCACTGAGTGTGGACAGAACTAAGGAGGACAGAACAGAGGGCTGGAGAAAGCAGTGCAAGCAACAAACTTGGGAAGATACTAAACAGCCCCCCTCCCTCCACACTTGCTGCTTTGAGACCGAGACATTTGCCTCAAACTGAAGGGTTAAGTAAGCAAACCCCAATCACTGTTTTAACATGCTTGGTTTTATCCATGGTAACACTCCAACTCAGAGCTTTCTGGCTTTCAACTCCCACCTGTTGTGCCAAAAATAAGAGAAAATGTCAAAATAACCTAACTTTTCACTGCTTTTTCCAAGTGCAGGCGGAGAGCATGCTATCACCTGCTAACAAAACAGCATTTCAGTTCTAGACAGCCTGCTTCAAATTCGCAGTCTTTGTACTCCACACTGCGCAGCCAGCCTATCTCATTCTCAGTAGTGTCAAACTCCTACAGCCTTGAGAAGAGACTGTGAGGAAACCAGCTGCTGCAGGTTGGGTTGTCAAAGTAATACCTGGAATGACACACTGCCTACTTTAAGGACCCCCTGGCATGCATTTGAACAGCGCACTACTCTCAATAATGTGTTGGCTTTATCTTGCATTCTTTCATTTCTGCTTCTCACAGTGGGCAACTCTGTGGACTCCCCATAATTTAGTGGTGTTAAATAACATGAAGAGGATTTGGTCAGTACAAAGGAAGCGATGGGAAATTGCAATATGTTCAGCCCCAGCTATACTTATCCAGAAATAGATTCTTCAAAGAAAAAAAAGAACATCAAAAACTGTGACAGAGAGGGGAAAGAAAATGCAGACAGTTCAGACAGATGTTGCAAACCCATAAGGCAAAACAGTTTGTTCCACTTGCTTGAATCTAACTTTAACAACTGACATATCCTGACTCTGAAAGAAAAGACTGTGCTCCTACCTGTACTTGCTTCTAGAAACTCAGGATCACTGGCAATCCCCTTCTTCATGTGACAAAGCGTGACATTGTATACGGTGCCAGGACGCAGACCCTCAATCTCATAGCTCAGCTGCTCCTTGGGCACTTGTACTTGTTTCACCAAGGTCTCATATCCCACAGGATAATAGCTAATGAGGTAACTATCCACATCAATCATTTGATCCCAGCTGACTGCCAAAGCATTCTCCGTGGAGTTCAGCAGCTGCAAGTTCTGAGGAGCATATACTAGAAGAGAAACACAGTAGCAATGAGGGTGACCCTTCTAATGATTCTGGGACAGAATCTGGTCTTTTCATAGTACTGTCCAAGTTACTTGAGAACATAACCAGTCCCTAAAACTCTGGAAAGCAGCTTCTTCATAGCAGGGGAGGAAAACATCTTTTGTACTGATGGAAAAAATAAACTCTGTGCCTGAAAGAGAATAATCTGGCAGATCTGTCGCACATCATAGATCTCAAGATGCCAATGCTGCTTTAACTTTTTGGCCACAGGATACATGACTCATCAGTTCTGGGAAAACTGAATGGGTGATGGTTTGGCAACGTGGACCAGTGGGGAAGGAATGTCCCTTGAAAGTTCCTGCAGAAGCAGAGAGGACATTTTTCAACAAACTCATCTGATTTTAACTAGAAGTAACCACACCATGAACTGATCAAGCTCCAACTACCAGGTTAATGCGCCCACCAGCTGAATGTCACTAAGACACCAACTGATTGCTAATACAGGGTGGAGCCTTGAAGCTATGGGCCACCCCTGGTTTGACTTACCTACAGAAGGAGCCAAACACTTCTCAGGAGATAAAGAAGAAAACTTAAGATAAAAGCAAGGAAAGAGAAATAATACACAAGTGTCTCACCCTGGGAACAGTCAAGGCCGAAGAAGCCATCATGGCAATAGCACTCTCCTGTGTCGCAGAACCCATTGCCGCTGCAGTCCCCGGGACATCGTTTCTCACTGCAGTCGTCTCCAGTGAACTCTTCATAGCACTGGCAGACTCCTTTGGATGTGTCACAGATCCCGCTGCCGCTGCAGTTTTCAGGGCAGAGCTGCTGGCTGCAGTCCTCCCCAAAGAAACGCTCATTACAGACACATCTTCCACCATCGCAGTGCCCGTGGCCGCTGCAGTGGTTGGGACAGGTGGGGTGAGAGCAGTCACTGCCTTCCCAGCCCTCAGCACATTTACAGCTGCAAGTCTCATAGAGGAATGTCCCGTGGCTGCTGCAGTGCGAGATGCCTGGCCAGAGCAGTACCAGGGTGCACAGCAGCACGTGTGACACACAGGCAAGAGGGGAGACCAAAAAAAAAAAAAAAAAAAAAAAAAGTTAGGAACAGAGAAATGGATAGGTATAAAAATACCTGTTCAAGCTCACTGAAGAGAGAGCATAGCTACCTGGAAAATATGCTGTGGGAGAGACCTCAAGAACTTACCCACCTACCTCTGATTCCAACAGAAGGCCCAGCTCCACCCTTGCCTTTCTTAACAGATTTTTTTTCCCATAGGGATCAGGAATGCAGCATCCATACCCACCCCAGACAAATCAGCTTTTCATAGCCTCTAGCTTGAATCTTCCTGGCTGTAGTTTAAGCTCACCACTTCTCATCATAGTGGTTACAGAGCTAGAGAACAGATTATTCTTGTCCTCTATATGGTTGTATTTTCCATGTAACTGAAGACTTGGTATTTCTCCCTCTGCCTCCATTCCCAGATAATAATAATCTGTTAAATCTCAGAGATCATAGTGTATAAGCCTTTGACCTCAGGTAGACAGTGACTGCTACAAATCACCTTCAGAAACTGCTCTGTTAGTTATCTAGCAGGAATTAAAAAAACATTCTCAACAGCTACAAGATTCTGGAGGTAGAATTGAAATGGGAAGAGACAGCAAGTGCCTCCTCCTTCCTCCACCTTCCCCTTCCCTGAGAAGTTCCTTCCCTGAGCTGCCCATCTATGTGAAATGCAGCAGCTTTTCCCCTCTGCTTTGGGGCCATGCTTGGGGCGATCTCCCCTGCATCCATTCCATATACTGCTGCACTACTACTTGGGGACATGGATTCCAGACTGTGTCTGAAGAACTTGGGTTACGTATGGGATATAAAAACAGATAGTGTAATTATTACATACCTTGCCTTCCGCCACAGCATGTCTGAGGGCTGCAGAGTTCTCTCAGCTCTGCCACTTCTTTCTCCAACTTTTCCATCCTCTCTAGCAGTCCCTTGATATGGTCCAAAGTTTCACAGTTTCCCTTGGGTGTGTGCAAGTGGATATTGTGCCTAAAAATGATATTCTGCTCTTCATTTTCCTCAGCATCCCCAGGATCCAGTTGCACCTCACTGCTGTCTTCCTGCTGTAATGGATCTGCCTCCACCTTGATCTGGGAAGACGTGGGCACATCAATCCTGTACGAGTGGCTGAAGGATATTTTTTGGCCACTGCTAGTGCAGTTATGAGATGTAGGCAGTTGAATAGCAGATATCTGAAGAGAACAGCACAGCAATATCGCCAGAGAGAAGGCACCTGAGTTCTGGAAATCCATCTGGCAAGTCCTCAGAGAAAGACTGATCCCTCAAACAGCACAGCTGGTTTCAAGAAGAAAATGAAAAGAAAAATAAAGGCAGGGGCAGATGTACGATCACAATGCTTTTTATTTTGGTTTAAAAATAAGACATGTGTTGCCTCAATTCAGCAATAGGTTGGTCAACAACTGAAAAACTGAATACTGAATGAGTTAGAGAGCTTCCAGGCCCACTTGACTAGAAAGATTTAGGCTTGCAGCTTTCCAATGAGACTAAGAATCATGGTCTATTGTGAATATTACCATGCAGCACTTCTTGTTCCCCTGTGGTTACAATAGGCATTTCACCAGTTTCCTAGCTGTGATCCCAATTACCGATGAATTATTTGGCATTGGCATTTTGCTTGCCTGAACACTGGAGTATCTTGAAGCATTGCAAGTGTATTTTGCTCTGACTTGATATCTAATTTATTTCAACATTGGCAAGGTTCATTTAAAAACTACTCAAGTAAATCTCATTGTTCACACGTGGAGTAAGGAAACGAGTAACCTGTATTTTTCCTTACTTTTATTTCAGAAGTATTCCTTCTTTCTTAGCTTGCAAGCATAAAGAGGCAAAGCACACTTTCAGTCTGATTCTCAAAACAGAAGGCTAGGGAAGAAAAAAAAAAAAAAAGAGTTCTGTGATGTAACTATATTCACATTTTTAAGTCTAAACTCAAGTCCAAAGCAATTAGTTTAAAGACTTCAAGTACCTAGAAGAAACAGAACTGTTTGCTGTACCATTTGGACTTGGGAAAAGAACACAGAAATGAAGGAACTGAATAAACACAAGTGGAAGAATAAAATATGAAGCTGAAAGCTAAATTTACTGGTTGGCTTATTCAGTGTTACCAAATGAATCTTGGCATTAATGGTAGATGTCAATCTCAACAGGAGGTGATACATACTTGGTTAGATACTTAAAATTCTCTATCACAGGATGTAAATACAAAATGTCACCATATGTGACTTACCAAGCAGTCATGTTACTCATTGCACAAGTAGGAAAAAAAAATACTTAAGTGCTAAATTAGGTAACTTGATAGCTAGTAACTACTTAGCTAATATGTATCCCTAGTAACAGCCCATCTGAACCCAGATAACAGTGCTGGCCCCAATAATGCTCTCTGAGGTAACAAAGGCCTCCAGTCTTAAAAAGATTGTAGCAAAGGACAAGTTTTCAGCTCCTCTGTTATTTCTACATTTCTGAAAGTCCTATAACCATGGGTTATGACAGTAATAATTTGTTTCTGTGAAACAGCCCCATAACCACCATCTCCTGAATTACTTTGGTAACTCTTGAAAAATCCCTACCACTAGGTTCATGCCACATTGTTGGCAACACAGATGCAGGAAGGTCTCCTTTGTGCTGAAGGACACGAAGATTGAGTTCCTAAAAATCTGCAGAAATATATAATATGCCCACTCATACCTATACTGCAGGCAGCTCAAGTTCTGGTGCAAACTCAGTTCTCTTCAAGCAAAATCATCATTGGTATCAAGCAAAATAGGGTATAAATTTTGGATTCTGTCTATAATCCTTTATGATATATGAATTAAAGGCATATGGTAACCAACTCTGCTGTTCATTCATTCCCAAGCAGCATTTTTTCCTTTCAGCTCTTACCTACTGAAGGTATATTCCCTCCACCCTCCCTTCCCCTTTCCTCTTTAACGATGTGGCAGAACAGCATGCATCCTGCAGTTTTGCAGCCACCCATTTGACACCAAAGACAGAGCTTTCCATTCCCAGCCAGCTGCTAGTCTCTCTTCCAGGCTGTCAAAGGGCCACAGAAAGCAACCATCCCTTTCTTCTTCTGCTGTGTAGATTTCTGAAGCAAATGAAATCACAAGAGATTGCCTCAAAGCTCTGAGCAAATTAAATGCCCAAGATCTACAGTCTCACCAAAAACTACAGCAGAAAAATCCCAAAGTCCTTGATTTGTGAGGTTTATTTCCAAACCCCCAGGATAAGTCTCCTGATTTCCCCAGCCCCAAACACATGAACATGTATAAAAGCCCTTCTCTCAGTGCTGCATGCCAGTCTGGGTTATAACATGATGTCATGACAAATTAGGGCTTCTTGGGTACCACAAAGTGATCTCAGATTTTCCTGGGCCTGGAGATCATTCAAGAAAAAAAAAAAATACCCTGAACATAAGCACTTCTGTCAAGCATAATGAGAGGGGAGCACAGAATTTCTGGCTCATCATCGTGTAATAAAGAGATTTTTCCCTGCTGTTCAAAAAGAGAGGGTTTAACTAATCCTTCGTGGAGAATATCATGTCATATGTATAACCGCTAATAACAGGGAATTAAGGAAAGGAAGAAAGGAATTTAAGGAAAGGAAAAAAATCCTAACAGTCAGATTACAGAATAGTCTACCAAGAAAAGTAATGGAGAAAGGCACACTTACAACTTTCTAACTTTCACAGAGAAAAGCATATGATAATCCAAATCACAGATAAGCTACAGGATTTTCATGGGAAGATTTCAGTGATCTAATTCTGATGATCAAATAATCTAGATCTCTAATGATCTAATTATGTTAGCCTTCTTGCATAAATGTCAGTGCTTGAGGATTTGGGCACAGACCTGCACAGCCTGGTCTTCTGGGCAACAGCCATCAGCAGTTAGTCAGGTGGGACGCATGTGATGGAGAGCTGCATCAGTCAAGGCAAGAGCTGATAAAAACACAGATGGGGACACTGGCAGGAACATCTCCCAGATGATATGGAAATGAGACAGAGGAGAGAAAGGGTCATAAAGGAAGGAAATGCAGGTCTAAGGCAGCTGTAGGGTTGTAGAGAGAATTAAAAGACCAGAAATGTGGATGCTAACTATCACTATGCTAGAAGTGACTACTTATCTACAGAGGATGACCATTATGGAGAAACTAAACCAGTACATGGGGATCAATACACTTAGGTAGTTAACAGCACACAACAGGTACCTATCCAGGCAATGAGAGTTATGCAGAGCAACACGACAGGCAACACAAGCTACAGTTGAAGGTAAATAGCCAGAAGAAAGAAGTGCAGTGAAAGGAGCCATGGGCTGAGACCTGAGCTTTTTCAGTATAAAGCACATAGGCTGTTGTGTCGTCTTGAGGCAAGGTATTTTTGAGCACACCATCATAAAGCCAAAGGAGGTTTCTTGAGGAAGACAAGACTAATAATAGACATTGCAAAACATGCCAGAAAGTCCTTAGCAAGTTCACAGAATTGGTGCTGGAGTCCAAACAACTATTATTTACTCTGTTAACTTTTGAGAACAGCAGTAGGAAACCTGACCAACCCTAGGAAGGGAGCACTTAGGTTCAGGGGACACAAGCATTACTGATGGTAAAGATTCATCATCATTTACCCTGTACCCTCACGCATCTGACACACAGATGTCAGCTGTACATTGACATACTGTTTAAGCATAGAGATTCGCAGCGTGAGAACAGGCAAGCGCATGGTAACAGCCTGCAGAGAAACAAATGCATCTGAAAGGCTCATGGAAAATCATGTTCTTGGCTGCTGAAGACATAGCAGTACAGACACTGATGAACCGCCTCAACCCACAGTTAACAGGGAATCATCAGACTCCTTACATCTACCAAGACTGCAGCTCTCCTTTTAGCAATAAAGAATGACAGGAGTCAGTAAAACTGCAGACCAAAACTCATTCCTAGGAGCTATTTTCATCCATCCACAAAAAACACACCACCCAAGGGTCAAAGGATGTACACAAAATGATAGCAGGCCTGTTCAGCTGCTGAGGAGTCTAGCCAATCCTCCTGCCTATTCCTCCTACTTGCATATTTTTAATCAGCGAGGCATTCAGTTGAGACTAACTACAGATGTTAGAGACTTTCCATAAACTGTATTTAACTGATTGGATTATTCGTCCTTAATCTCCACAGTGAAATTAACACTGTTGTTCCTAATGTCACTTGCTTTAGAAAGCTGCACAGTAGATTACCTTTTTTTCCTGCGATATGTGTATGTGTATTTAAATCTAGCTCTGATATTGGTAGCATGTAAAATACATCCAGGGGCTTCTGAAGAATTCATTTGCTGTAATTGCACTGCTAGCCAGCATTCTATTTTCCACGTAAAGGAATCTTTAACCATTCATTTAACCATTAATTTAGCTAGACTGTTTCTTTTGAAGGTGCCTTTTATCATTTAAATTTTTTATTTCCAGACTGATTGAACCTTACCTAAAGAAGTCTGAGTTGATTTGAAATAATACAAAAAATAATAATTTTTTAAAAAGTCAAATAAATGCTATGTTTCTAGACTCACCTGTATATTTATTTTACCTTTTCTTTCATGCTAACTCTTCTACACAGTCTGGTAAGCAAGGTGCAGTGACTGTACATAAGTGAAGGAGAGCTTGCTCCCTAAATCCAACAGAGTCATTTGAAAAAACAGAGATGCTGGCTAGGATTTTCACATTTGTTATTTACCATACCTATGCATTTTGTAGTAAATTACCTGCTTACTACTGTTAAAACAGTGGCTTTCAGTTCTATTAAGGCAGTCTTTCCTAGAACTAGCCTTTGCTGTTGCCTATATATAGAAAACCTGCTCACAAGTTTTGTAGTATCTGTGTTTGATCAGTTTGTTTATCCACCGAGTATCATTTGTATCAGTACTTGGAAAATTATTAGCTTTATTATGAAACTAGTAATATATTTCATGTTACATAGTATAGCACTTCTACTGGCTTCCATCACTGAGTGTGTAAGAAGATGCCTTGATAGAGTTCTTGGGTGAGAGGATACTGAACTGTTATTTTAAGCTTTTGTTGCAATTCTGAGTGTCAAGTTCCTAAATAATCTTGTGTAAACAGAAAAGGCTTTTAAAATAGCCAAAGGCACACACGCAGAATAATTAAATAAATCAAAATCAGAGCCTAAAATACACATATAAGGACCAAACATTCTAAACCAACTAATTTGTAGGTTTAACCCTAACTTTAAACCTAATGGCAATGGCAAAACTCCTGCTTGCTTAAGCAGATATGTGGCTTCATCCTTGTTATTTGCTTCTTCAGAGACAACATCTTGAGAAAGCTCAATTCCTTCAGAGTGGAGTGACAGAAAACACTACACAACACACTACACATTTTGAGTAACAATACATTTGCATAACAATTATTGGTGTTTGTGTAAGGCTTTCAAAGCTTTAGTGGACACATACAAAACTGGACAACCTTTTCATTCTAAACAAGAAGTATCTCAAAAGACTTTTCTCACCTTTCAATAACTTTGAGCTGTCCAGTTCAGGGTCCTTCAGCAGCTACTTGCAAAGGCACCTAGAGCACCCCAATAGGCCACCACATCTTCTCCTCTTCCCAGTCCTACTGCAAACACCACCCATGCTTGCTAGTAATTTAAGTCCTCCTGACCAGATGGAAGGAATTAATAGAGACCTCTGGGTGTTTCCCTCCCGGGGGGGGGTACAGATTTGGTAGAAAAACCCCACTATGTATTAGCCTCACAGACCACTAGGAAAAAAAACATTTCCTATTCATTTTATCCCCAATTTCTGGTCAAAAGCCAGAAAGTCTTTCCAACTCTGTAAACGCAGCAGCAAAGAGGACAGAATTTTTTGCTGAGACCCACATATGGAGACAAGCACTTTCAAAGTATTAATTATCTGAAATTCCAGTAGTCAACAGAGCAAGCAAAAGCAAAAAGCCTTTTAAAATCACCAGTAGTTGAACACAACACTGCATTTACCTGTGACAACACTAAAAACAAAAAAAGTAAAGAAAAAAAAAAAATCCACCCCCCACCCTGTGGACCTTAAAAGCAATGGCAGTATTTTAGCCTAGACTCAGTTCATAATGGCAAATGCCCACAGAGCAAGACCGCTGAAGGCAGTTAGCACCTCCATTAGCAAGAAAGCCAGAAACTGAACAGGCTGGAGAGAATGACCTACTTACCACCTCTAGCACTAGTCTCTTTTCACTGATCACCATTACCAGTACCATCCAAGTGAAAAGTAACTGTGCCACCTGCTGCTGGGGGTGGTATGGAAAATAAAATTTGACTGTGTTAACTTTTATTTTTTTCTAAATGGAAGTACATCCTGAAAGGAATCGTGAACCTAATAAAATGCCCGGCACACAGCAATACAAATTGAGAGAGACCCCCTTTTCAAAGGCCCAGGACCATATCCACACAGCTTTTGAGCATCTCCAAGGAAGGAGACTCCTCAGCCTCTCTGGGTGAGTGGCTTTAGTGCTCTGTCACCCTCACGGTAAATAAGTTTTCCCTCGTGTTAAGCCAGAGGTTTCTGCTAACACACCGCAATCATCAGCATGGGGGACACGTAGTTTTGTGAAAAAATGGGCCTGGAACACAGTTAATCCTTCAAACCTCCCTCATCATATTTTCCTGATGGAACTCCATGCTCTGTCATTTTTAGACTTCCCTCTTCCAACGTCTGATCCATGTGGTCCACTCCCAAACTGATCCTGTGGTTTCTGCAGAAGGTGCCTGCTTCTCTAATGTAGGTTATTACTGACTCACATCAGTACTGGGACACAGCCCTTCAGTGTGGTTTGGGCCTTTCTTTCTTTTCCACCCATAAAAAGCACGAGAAATGAAGTTTTACCATAAAAGGAAAGTCCTTGAGAGCCACCAGTGCCCCCAGTCTGAGCCCACCAGGGAAGGGGAGAGCACAGTGCAAGCGAGGGACATCCTGAGTGCCCATCCTTGCACGCACAGCGGGGCACTGCCAGGTGCCCTGTTTCTGGGAAGAGTTGCCCCAAAATCCCACACAAGAGGTTCATCTCTCCCAGCACGGCAGGTCCTCTCTCCTACAGCTATGCACCATTTCCAACGGGCACTGATGTGCATGTGAAGAAGTTGAACTTAAAGGCTCATGGTTTTATTTCACCATTCCCACCATAGAAGTTGCTTTAGGTAGGATCAAGGTAGTGGAAAAACACACCACATGAGGCAGAAAAAAACATCTATGAGGCAGAAAAAAACATCTATAGAGAGTAATGCAGACTCCCTGCCGTGGAGTCCTGAAAACACGAGGACACCTTCACATCTTCTGGAAACATTTTTCAAAGATCAAAGAGATCGGCGCTAGCAGTAACACTCTCCGCATACGGAGCCTGCAAACAGAAGCAAGTAAAAGAAGAAGAGAAGGGAGTAAAAGAAAAGAAGGGCGCGATCCCACCACTCCGCCCCGAGACATTCC